AAGACATCTGGCTCCCCTGTGTTTGATTGAATGTTGGGGACACAGTTTCGTAGGTAAGTTTTTTCTCCTGGCCTTTCTGTATTACAACACATACTTCTCAAAAGCTGTAAGCTAAAGTTGTTGGCAAGTGTCACATTTGGATACACTAATTTACCACTATTTGAAGATCAACTTGCTGCTCTTAGATTTACCCTTTTTTATATCAAAATTGAAAAGCCAAACCTGAGAAAACTCAGTACATTTTAAGAGACAAGTGAACACATGCATTCATGTTTGCCACAGGAAAGATTATGAGGTTCCCATTCTTTCGTCTGGGAAGATAGCTCCTATGGATTGATAATGCTTAGAAAGACCTCCAAGACTGACTGACTGACTGAGTTTGGTTTTACGCCGCTTTTAGCAATATTCCAGCAACATCACGGCGGGGGACACCAGATATGGGCTTCACACATTGTGCCCATGTGGGGATTCGAACCCGGGTCTTCAGCGTGACGAGCCAACGCTTTAACCATTAGGCTACCCCACAGCCCCAGACCTCCAAGAAGAAAGACAACACAAGACCATGTCTAAATCTGTGGAACAGAAACAAGTTTAAGGAAATAAGGCAATCAAGTGTTCATATTCGTAAGAAATGTAGAAATGGTTAAATGATATGGTTGTCCTAGATCAGAATTGTTTATCTTAAGCCAGGTTTCCTCAGTAAATTAGCTTCATAAAACTTCTGCTTGTAATGGGATGAAGTTGAAAATATAACGGTTAAAATACAGACTACAGTGAAACCTGCCAACACCGGCACCTGTCTAATCCGGCATACTGTCAAAACCGGCAAGAAATCTTGGTCCCGAAATTTTACAACGATATTATGATCATTAAAAGATTGTCTAATCCGGCACCTGTATATTCCATATTCCGGCACGACTTTTCGGTCCCAACAAGCATTTTTAACTGTAATTATCACTGTCTAAACCGGCATGGGTATGAGCAGTCCAATCAAAGCCCCATAATCTAATACACTAATTAATCCTCTTGGCATGCTTGTGAATCAAACGTTCTAAGCTGGCATGGGTATGAGCAGTCCAATCAAGGTCCCGCAATCTAATACATGTACACTCCTCTCGGCACACTACCTAAGTAGTGATTGCGCGGTGAATCAAACGCTCGAAGGATTACCATGTTAATGCAGTCCCCCAGTGTTTATAAAGCATAAACTGTTTTCATTTGAGTGACATGTGTCAGAGGGGAAATAAATAGGCATTGGTTTTATTGACTCGTCAGTCACTTGGTGTGTCATGATGGCTAGACCAACTAAGCGGGCATGTTTGGAGTTTACACTTGTTAAAAAAATCCAGCTCATCAATGACTTTGATACTCTTCCTCGGCCCTCTCAAAAAGAACTTGCAGCTAAGTATCAAATTGTCAGGCAAACTGTTTCGGACATTTTGAAAAAGAGTGATATTTTTTATCCCAAACTTGAAGAAAACCATAATTCACAGACCAAACATTTGTATGATAGTGGAAAATTTGACAAGATTAACTCTCTCACTCATGAATGGTTTTTTGACTGCCTGCAGCAAAAATTTACCTATATCTGGTCCCATTCTGCAAGAAAAGGCTCTTCAATTTGCAGCAAAATTGGAAGTTAAAGATTTTAAAGCATCTAATGGTTGGCTAGCCTCTTGGAAGACACGACACAATATCAAACAGTTTAAAGTTAGTGGCGAAAGTGCATGTGTGACGTAGACGACTTCAAGTCCCGCCTTTCTAGTTTAATTGATGGGTACTCACCGGAGGACGTTTTCAATTGCGACGAGACAGGTCTTGTATTTCATGCGTTACCTGACAAGACACTGGCTACTAAGACTGATGCTGCTAAAGGTGGTAAATTTCAAAAGACCGTCTCACGATTCTGTTCTGCTGCAGTTCAACAGGAGAAAAATTGAAACCACTGGTTATAGGCAAAGCTCAGAAGCCAAGATGCTTTAAAAAAACCTTTCCCTTGATAAGCTTCCTGTACATAGCTTCTAACAAGAAGGCGTGGATGACCAGTGTAATCTATCGTGATTGGTTAGAGCAGATAAACAGGCACATGAGTAAACAAAGATGGAAGATTTCCTTGTTCATGAACAATGCTCCTTCCCATGGTCATGGCGTCGAACTTAGCAATGTGAAGATAATGTTTTTGCCAGCCAACACCATGTCCGTGTTGCAGCCTTTACATCAGGGTATCATCAGAGCTTTTAAGGCTTGATATCGGCGATATCTTTTAAAGTCCCTTGTAGCAAGAATTGAAGACTCCTCCTCTGCACATGAACTGGTGAAAGCTATTACAGTCCTTGATGCTGTCAACTGGACTTTGAAAGCCTGGGCCGAGACAACACCCGAGACGATAAAGAAATGTTTCTTCATAGGCGGCTTTCAGCCAGACGACAGTGTGGACAGCGAAATCAACCAGGAATTTGACGAAGATGACGACATCCCTCTTGCCACACTGGTCTCTTCCATCAACAGCGCCGTTACCACATCTGATTTCGTTTCTTGTGACTCGGATGTCCTGACAGAAAATGAGCGACTGGGAAGCTGAACTAGTGACAGAGGCAACCAGTAAACCTGACACTGACCTAGCATCCTCTGAAGACGAAGATGATAACAACTCAACTAGTGTCGAGCAACCAACGTTATTGATGAGGGACCTTCTCACGATGTGTACTCAGATGAAGCATTTTGCAGCGACTCAAGAAGCAAGGCTCCTTCCCTACCTACAAGACCTTGAAGCAGTTGCTGAAAACATTGCACTTGAAAAAACCAGTGAGGGAAGTCAAGCCAAAATGTCAGACTATTTCTTGCCAAATTGTTGATTTGTACTGGATATTTGAACAATGTTTAGTACATGTACTGAATAAAAAATGACTATCTGTTATCAACATTGTTTTAATTTGTTCCACAATTACAAAAGATCAAAGGCATCATATAGATGAAGAGATTGACGAGTGTAAATGGCAGCCATGTTGGAAAATGATCCTCACTGTGTAATCCGGCAACCTGTCTAAACCGGCATTTTATTTCAGTCCCGTGGGGTGCCGTTTAGACAGGTTTCACTGTACATGCAGGGATAAACCTGGCTCAGAAAAGATATGAGATAAAATCTCACATGGGACCAAAAACATGAGATTTTATCAAATCTTATGAGATTTAACTGTTCATGATCGTTCACAAGAAAAGGAATAAACGACAAATAGGACATTGTCATATGTATTTAAGTCTTTCAACACCAGTCAACCAGAGGCATTTACTACCATGACACCGAGTTCCCAGAGACTCTGAGGTCATAGATGAAGCCTATGTTTATCAAGGAAAATATCAGCTTGCAAAACATTATTGCTACTACATATCATACATCATTTAAAAGGTCTAATACTACTGTTTATAAATATGAAATTTATTTTTTATCATATTATTCAAATAATACAACTACAACGTAAATAAGTTAATATTTAATGAAAATGCAAGCTTACACATTCATAGTGTCCAGTTAAACCATGAAGGGAGCAAAAAATGCCCCTTACCTTTTCCTTTTATATTTTCTTTTGTACGTGATCGGAAAATTATTATAAACAGATTTCTCAAATAATATGCATGGTCGTCTGTTTCCCGATACCAGTGGCTTTCTGCTCGGTAACGTGATACAACAGTGGGAAATACCTCCGTTTTGGAAGCTTCGTATGAATAACATGTGAGGCAATTCGTATGATGGCAGGTATCGTTCGAAAGCTCTGAACACCAACAATATCACTGCACCCTTGCCAAGAGTATTTTTGCAGTTGTAAGAAGCGATTTTATTGGATAAAATTGGTTTCTAATAACGCTTTTCTGCCACAGTCTGCTATGAGGATCGTGACTGGTCAAAATAAGGCACGTGACCTAAGGCAGCCAATCATAAGACAGCAATGGATACCGTCCTCATAAACGAAAACTTTTAGATTCAGATGAAAGTTTTGGGCAAAATCATGCTATTCCGAACGTGTTACGCAAAAAATCACCACATATACGTATATTTTGGAACTTAGTGGTCGTATCGTGCCAGGTTATGACCTGTGACAAAAAGGCTTCATGCATATATTTTAGCATTAAACATCGTGTCCGAGCGCTAAGTTCGAGGCGATGAAAGCCAAGATGTCACTTGAATTACATTACACGATCGCACAAAAAAGATGGAAATAGTAAGTTGTAATGCATGTTTGACAACTATTATGAGTACTGTTGTAATTTTTATTCTTCCGTTTATTCAATTTGTTTAATTAAGTGTTTTCAGACATTGTTAAAAGTGACAGATTTAATAAATGAATCATACATTAGTTAAGTTCCTAAAATTATATGGTACATCATTTTGATGTGACTACTGCCTGGCCGGTTTACCGGCCTACGGTGTCTGGGGACTTGTGAAGTCTTGGCCAGTTTTCCGGCCTACGGTGTTCAATGGGTTCATCAACTTCAAGTCGATGGTTTCGTTAGCAGACGCTTTTTTGGGAGGCATGATGTTGCAGAACACAACTTCCGAACACGAACTCTGTACAGCGTCGTACAGTGCATAAACAACTGAGTACTACGAGGTTCAGAGTTTACCATACTCCTTGCAGCGCAGCTCGTTTTGTACAGCACCGTGTAATGATGTCTGAAGTTCCATACCGGAAGTTATGTTTCGAAGATTAAAAATAGGTAGAAAGCAACGGGACTATCTTTGACAGAACAAAATAACAACAAAGTAAAATAGACTTAAACACACTATTATTTCCAATCGTTCAGGTGAGTAGGATGCGATTTTAAAAGGCTGCAGATAAATTTGAATGCGATGTTATAGCAATTGAAGCGAGAAAATCACGATATCGCGGCCCAAGTCAATCCCTGTACATGTAAAAACAAAAGCTCATTTGAACTTTGAGTCAAGGAGAACAATAAATTCTCCATCTGACATTTCTTCTGCTTAAGATATATAAATATCTTACCCTGAGTTTTTTCTGGAGTTTGTTCTCTTCATCATCATCACACTCTGGGAACTCATATATTTTGATCTTGTGTTGGGCAATTTCATTCAAAATCTGTAAACAAGTTAACAAAGAGAGTTCAATGACATGACAACATAAGACGGTATCAGACTTTGGGTTCTGGAAAACATCCCAACTACAGAACAACCTCAAACTATCCAGCCAGTGGAGTGAGTGAGTGAGTTTAGTTTTAAGCCGCACTCAGCAATATTCCAGCTACATGGCGGCGGTCTGTAAATAATCAAATCTGGGCCAGACAATCCAGTGATCAACAGCATGAGCATCGATCTGCGCAATTTGGAACCGATGACATGTGTCAACCAAGTCAGCGAGCCTGACCACCCGATCCCGTTAGTCGCCTCTTACGACAAGCATAGTTGCCTTTTGTGGCAAGCATGGGTTGCTGTAGACCTATTCTACCCCGGATCTTCACAGGCCTCCAGCCAATGGAAAGCCAAACTGCACTGCCTGCCTAATGAAATCATTTGCACTCTGAGAATCACCTGCCATTAAACTTGATAGTAAAATAAAAAAGGAACATCCACATTCATTTAAATGATGTCACTTCATGTTTTATTAGCAAAACTGATGACATCACTTCCAGTTTAAAAAGCATATGCATGAAAACTGCAAAATACAGGACAGTGGTAAAATAAACCAAACTTAGGTTAACATGCACTGTGCTAAGGAATACCGAAAAAAATTGGGTACAGTTGTATAGTGGTAAAGTATAAACAGTGAGTGAGTGAGCTTTTAGCAATATCACGGCAGGGATACACCAAAAATGGGCTTCACACATTGTACCCATGTGGGGAATCGAACACAGATCTTCGGCGTGACTTGCGAACGTTTAAATCACTAGGCTACCCTATAGAACCATGGGGTATCGTTGTTCAGTGGTAAAGCTTATAGAACCACAAGGTATTGATGTACAGTGTAAAGTATATAGAACCATGGGCAATTGATGTGCAGTGATACAGTATATAGAACCATTGGCTATTGATATATAGATGTAAAGTATATAGAACAATGGGCAATTGATGTGCAGTGGTAAAGTATATAGAACCATTGGCTATTGCTATACACAGGTAAAGTATATAGAACAATGGGCAATTGATGTGCAGTGATACAGTATATAGAACCATTGGCTATTGCTATACACAGGTAAAGTATATAGAACAATGGGCAATTGATGTGCAGTGACACAGTATATAGAACCATTGGTTATTGCTATACACAGGTAAAGTATATAGAACAATGGGCAATTGATGTGCAGTGATACAGTATATAGAACCATTAGCTATTGATATATAGTGGTAAAGTATATAGAACAATGGGCAATTGATGTGCAGTGGTAAAGTATATAGAACCATTGGCTATTGCTATACACAGGTAAAGAATATAGAACAATGGGCAATTGATGTGCAATGGTAGAGTATTCAGAATACACAACTGGGGTTACTGATGTATAGTTGTGTAGTGATGTATTATTTTAATGAATGCACAAACTGTTAAAAGTATAGCAGGGTAGGATTTCATTTGGGTATTTTCACCAGTGCACCAAGTGCAGGCTGTAGTTAACAAGTTATGGCACCACATACTTTACTCAAAAACTAAAACAACAACACAATGATCTCCCAAAATATCCAGTTGGGTATGTGTACAAGTTTGACATTACTGTTACATGATCATCATGATGACATGATTGGCCATCCAGCACACACTCCATACATATAAAACCTTTCTTCTTTGTATGCATTAAATCCTAATATGTCTGTCATTTGTGTCCCATGTATGCAAAATTTGTAGGCTGCACATCAAAATTGTTTGCAAATTAGTTTGATCACCTAATTTTGTCATGTTTGGACAAATGTCAACCTTGATCACCACATATCTATGGGTTCAACTGTTATCCTTTTCCAACATCTTTAAAATGCTCTCCAATTGTATAATCCTGTGTCTAAAGCTTGTATTTATGGTCAAAACTATCCTGAAATATTTTCTCAGCATCAAGAGTAAACTTTGTAACTTGACTGATTGTCATTTCCTGTTTTGCTTTGTGGGAAATAATACACATGTAAACCGATAATGAAGAGAGATGGTGACGGTGATGCTTGAGACAGATGGGTGACCATGTTTGGCAGCTTGACTCCTGTGAGTATCTTGGACTTTAGTATTTGGACTTTAGTATTTTTCAATGTCCTAAATCATCAAAAGGCACCAATTCACCACTTGACTTATCAGTATAACAACTTTCAAGACATATTCAACACTTTTGCAGTTCAGCTAAGAAAACAAGCACAACCCTCAGTATCAGTTTAAGACCAATTTGTCGGCCTGAAAACCTGAAACAATTTAAAAAAATCCAAAACCAAAATCATCAAAAGGCACTAGTTTGCTGACTTTCTGACAGACGTAATGAGGTTGAGAAATTGTGAAAAGCTATCGTACCTCTACGACTGTTGCAAGTCTATGTTACAGTATATGAGTTATGAATGCTACAAGAAAAGTTACGAGATCTTAGGCTTACGAAAGCTTTGTGAAACAGGGTCCTGGACTTTAACATGACCACCTGATGGAAGCATGATGAAAACTTAATCAGAATTCTGTGTGCAAAGTTTTATTGACACCATGGATAGGAACACCCTCATATGTTAGCTCTAAGATTAAACATTACACATCTCTCCAAGGTTTAGTAAACTGATTTCTTATGAAAAGGGGTGGTGGGGTAGCCTTGTGGTTAATGCGTTCACTCGTCACACCGAAGACCTGGGTTTGATTCCCCACATCGGTACAATGTGGGAAGCCCATTCTTGTGTCCCTTGCTGTGATATTGCCAGAATATTGCTAAAAGTGGCAAAAAACTAAACTCACTCTCAAGAAAATAATGCAAAAGGAACAATTACATGTATTGTTAGTAATTGTTAGTAATTGTTAGTAAAGTTACCTCTGGATTACGGTAGCCTTATTCCTGTGGATACACAGAATACATAAAGAAAATCAAAAGAAGTTTTAACACTAAGTCATAGATATTCCTAGTGGTATACCTAATCTACCCCTGAGTTATCTCCCTTGATCCTGACGTCACTGTATTGTTCTCCTAGAGCCCTTCATAATTTTTCTAAAAACAACACATCAATGACATCTTCTAAGGATAATTTCGCGGGGAGGACACAGGGTGGGAACTACTCCCCATAATCCAGAGGTAAGTTTACTAACAATTACTAACAATACATGTAATTGTTCCTAATTATAACGTAAACATTCCCTCTGGATTATGGTAGCCTGAATCCCAAGTAAGGATTAAGAATAACTATGACTTAGTCAGAGATAAATAATTTATCTCTAGATTGGTCAGTAGCAGTGGGGGAATACATTCCCAGAGATGGTGAGTCTTCTAGCTTCCCACAGTTATGGTTGATATAATAGATATCATGATAATCCTAATCTGTAATAGTAGGGATTATATAATCCCTGACGCCATAAATTCGGATTACGATAGATTCCTATAAATGTATCATGATTCTATCTGAATCCTGAAATATGTAATTAAACCTAATATTCCTTAAAATCATGACGTCACTTCCTGTTTGATGACGTCACTTCCGGTAACTATGACATCACTTCCTGTTTGATGACGTCACTTCCTGTAACCATGACGTCACTTCGGTTCTATGACGTCACTTCCGGTGATATTTGACATCACTTCTGGAAATATAACGTCACTTCCAGTTGATGACGTCACTTCCGCCGGTATCAAATACAACTAATATATATATATAGTACTTAAGGTCTCTCAACCTGAACAAAAAATATATTTCCCAACCCGTTGCTATCAACCATAGCCGGGAAGTGAGAGACTCAGCCCATAATTTGCTCGGTTAGGAGATACCATGATTCCTACCGTGGTATCTCCGGGTTGCTGTAGGTTGTGTCTGATCCAATCCTGTAATCCTTGGCTTTCGGTAATGATTTAATTGAATTGTTTCATTCAAAGTCAGGGACACATTTTTCATTATCACAAAATGTTGTAATTATCAAAGGCGTATTTGGAAAGAATATACATGCAAGATGTAACTTTACATTCAGTACAACCATGACAACTAGATTATGAACACCATTCAACCACTTTCAACTTTGTGAATAAACAGCAAATGCCAGAACATAGGTCATATTATAAACCTATGCTGTACTTTAACAATGAAACTTATATGGGTATTTTTGGCCAATATGGGCTTTCACAATTTGCAAGAAACCACCATAGCCATCACACTATTTATAATATTTTGGAACAGTATACAAATGAATGGAAAATAATCTGTTAACATAGTTATCTTTAGAAGAGGTGGATCTGTTGCCTATAAAGAAAAATGCTTTTTGAAAGGCAAACAATTATCTATAATTAATTACTATGCCTATCCAGGGTTTTACATGACGCGTGATTCCTGTGTATTTGATGCAACAATTTTGCAAACGACTCACAAAATATTATCATACGAGTCAAGCTTTTACGCAAGTTTTATGGGTGGCCCTCACAATTCAGTTCAATAAAATCGATTTGATTAGCAAAAAATGATATTGTTCGATGATACTTTTCAGAGAACTCAAAGGAGACAGTAATCCTGGCTGTTTGAATTGAACAATGCTGTAGTTTCATTTGGTGGTGTGACATAGTTATATGCTGAGAATGATTAACACAAAGAAATATAAATATTTTCATGACTCTCAAATATTGAAAATGACTCCCAAAAATAGATATTGTGAGTCACCATGACTCACATTTTTAAAAGTCTGTGTAAAACCCTGCCTATCTTGGACTAGTGTTTTCCCATACTAAACAAGAGTCATCAGAAGATGACAAATCCCCCCGGCCCCTACAAGTATGAAAGAGCAAATCATCAGTAGTATATACAATAGCGGAAGAGATCAATTCCAAGAAAGGACTCTGTAAAGCTTTATTTAGGAAATAAAGCTTTTGTCAGGCCCTTATCTCTCTCCGCCAGTGTGTATACCACTGTTTGAATCCCCAGTTAACTTCCTGGTCACTATGACCG